TGATTTTCATATTCTAACTGATATCATTCTATAATTCAATTTGTAGTGAAATCTAAAACTAATATGAATTACTTATCAAAATGATCTTCCAACAAGATTAATTTTTTAAATGAAATTTACAAGATTTTAGCGTCTGAAGTATTTTATCTAGTTGAACAATAATTCACATGAGTTTGGAAAACTTTGTAAACATCTGGTATGTAACATGACAATGTTTAAATGCCCATTGTCCTATCAAAGCAATTAATGGCATTTTACCTGACACAAAAAGTGACACTAAAATACCAATTGGTCTTGTTGACGAATTAATCCCTGTACGGCTTTTTGGCCTGACAACGACAAGACAAAACCCCTAATTGTTTTTGTTACTAAGAATTGTAAAAATTGCAAATCTGTAGAATCAATGAACACTGTGAGAACCCATAGAACACATCACTGTCTGCACGTGTTTCAATGTAACATCCTTAATTTAAACAAGATCTTAATCAAAGTAAAATGAGTAACACACAAATACCAACAAACATCGTTACATATTTCAGTCTAAACTTAGGGAATACCGAATGGGGGGGCCATCGTATAATTGTCGCCCTCTGATTATATAGTGTTTTATACTGATAGGATATGGGGATTAATTTTACTTTTGTTAATAGAATTTCTTCTTTCTTTCTTTTTTGTTTTCTTTTTTTACACTGAAAACGTCAAAATAAAATTATAAAATATAAAAAGAAACATTTTATATAAAAAAAGATCGGGAAAGTTCTTAAAGAGTTAAAATATACATACATGGAAAATGTTAACATGTGCTCAACTTAAAAACAAGTCGAAAGATTTCCAAAAGAAAAAAATGAAAAAAAAAAAAAAATGATGTTATGTTGACATTTAAAAGATGCAAAAAGTATAAGCTTGGTCAGTAGTACATACAGAATATTCAAGTTTTTCTTCTATAAATACAGGAATTTATGTTTTATCGAGTGGTATAAAAATGAATATTCAATGAAGTTGCGGTATTATTTTATACATTTTTTCCCTTTTTTTGGCATTATATTTGAAAAAGACTTATCCTAAATTTTGTATATTGGCCAAAATTTAAGAAAAAATAGCTGGGCAAACCCAAAAATAAAAATACGGAAAATATTTTCAAACTGCAATGAAAAATTAGATTTTTTACAGTGAAAAAAAAAAAGCAAAACGTATTTAATTCAAAATAAGGTTTTTCTTAAACCAAATATAGTTCATCAATAAATCTAATGATCAACAATGTTTAGATAAACTCACTTAAGTTATTTCTAAAGTTATTAATTGGTCATTTCAGTTGGTTAAAATTGCTTTGTAAATATAGACTTTATCAATTTAACTAACATTGGTAAAAAATTAAAAAAATTTCGTCTAACATAATGTTCCTTTAAATATCTAATTTATATTTTCACTGTAAAATACGAAAATACTCGTATTTTTCATTGCCAATGAAAATATTTTCCGTATTTTCACTTGTGTCTTTTTCGTGTGTCAAATTGTAATGTCAAAAAGAGAAAAGATAAAAAAATACCTCAACGATGTGAAATATTTCATTTTTAACACAGTTGATAAAAATAAAATCTTTTGAATATCCCTATGTACTACTGACAAAAAATCTTGAAACAAAAGAGATCCCTCGGAAGCATTAATAACAGCAAAATTACAAAAGAATGGCAACGCGGTTGAATGAGTCTTACATGATGGAAATGAAAATGCACGCCCCCCTAGCAACGCTTAAAGCGGTAATAAAGTAATTATCAAAAAAAATTTTTTTGCATCTTTTAAAATAACATAAAATTATTTTTATCTGAAATCTTTTCGATTTTTTTAAAGCAGCACCCTTCCACTGTATCCTGAATTTTCCCTGAAGTATTGAAATTTGTGAAGTGAACAAAAAACAGTTTTTTACATTTGCAAAAGAGTTACAATCTTCCGTAAATTACCCCCAAAAGGAGGTAAAAATTGTATAATACCCTTTACTTTCTTAGTAACTAGTAGAATTTGGTGATAAATACACAAATTAGCAATTGATAGAATAAGATATCATTATTCTTAATCTAAATCTTGTTACCATTCTCTACAATCTTATAGATTCCAATTTTTGGTTTAAAAATTTTTGGGCTAGCTGTATATGCATTTTAAATGTTTAGACAATGTATAACATTTTCCTTTATATTTGTATAAAATTCTTTCAGATTCCCCTTCTTTTTATAAAATGTTTTTTTTTTTGTTAATTTAATTTTAATTCGGACGTTTTCAAAAATCAAAAAAAAAAAAGAAAAAAAAAAGCAAAAGAAAATTTTTTTCCCCTATTCTTTTATAAAAAAACGATATAATCCAGGGGCACATTGCGCAGCGTGACGAAAAGGGACGGGAATCACGATGAAACAAAAACGATACCGCAATTGCAAAAAATCGTAAATATCGTATTTCACAATATTTATCGCACTTTTTGCCATCCATTATCACTTTGTCGTTTTATGTTTTTTTTCATCGCGATATCCATGCCCCAAACCCAATCGCATTGTCGTCATGACTATAAAGTAAACCACAGGGCCCCTTACGGTATTCCGAAAAAACTTTCCGAACTTTTATAAAAAGTTTTTTTTTACTACCATCATGAAAAAATATTTTAATAATAAAACTGTGTTTTGCATTTCCTCGCAGCCACATTTGCTCTAAATTTCAATATGAGGAAAAAATCTAGAAAAGATGATCGGACAGAAATTTTGTTAAAACTAAGAAAACAAATGGCTGACATTTGAAACTCAGTTACCGGGGCATTAGCCCAAGCTAAGTAAATACACATTGGAATGAAATAGAAACAATGCAAGAAAGCAGTCAAGACAAACCTTATACATTAAACAAGAAAACGCAAAGAGCGATTGAGAACAAAAATATGCAACCCGTGCAAAGCCAAAAGGGTAATCTATTTATTGAATATGTTTTAATTAAGTTTTGAAGAATAATTTACTTTTCAATTTTGTTTAAGAAACAAAGAGCTTTGGACCAAAGACCTGGAATGTAAATTCTTCGTGTTCCTTATAACCTGTTTTAAAAAATGCACATTAGGTAAACTTTTCCCACAAAAACTTGCCTTAAAACCTCGATTAAAAAGAATACAGCAAAAAAATTAAAGTAACATTTTTTTATTTGTGTGAAATAGTGCATTGCAATCAGCGATCGGTTTAAAATTGCATCGATTATCATACTTGTGTAAGATAGATAAACTGTAATCACTGCGAACAAGTAACGAACCATAAGGAAATAAGTGTACATATAACTTTGGGATCTTTAAAAAAGTAACACTTACAGTGCATTTCAATGGAAAAAAAAAATCCAAAGTACTAAATATTATGTAACAAAAATCTACTGGTCATCGGTTGCTGAGTGTTTTGCAAAGACAAAGTCAACCTATTATTCTGCATATATCAGAAACATATTATTTTGCAATGGTGCAATCAATCGAAATTTGCAGAAATCCGTGCGGTGTTGTAAGAATGATTTGAAGAGGTTTCGTTACGATACCAGTTTGTCAATAAAAACCAACAACACATGAAAGAAATTTTAACCACGGCAAATAATTTTTAGAAAAAAAAGAAAGAAAATGTACCTTGGTTGATAATGTAGGATAAGAACTGCTTTTAAAATTTAATATGAATGTAATAATGTTATTTTAGTCTTTGCATTCATTTCTTTACGAAATCATGGAAAGAATGATTACTGGTATTGAAACTTAAATGAACTTTAAATTAACAAACTGGTACGCATTCGTAACAAGTACCGGGAATTTACGATCAAGTTGTCAAATACTCGGTATTACTGACAAAATTGAAAAATACTGTACTGGCATACGGCAAATACTTTGATTGTACTGCACAAATTGACAAATACTGGTATGCGCTACTGGCAAAATGACTGATACTGGCGCTACTGCCACAAATTGACAAATACTGGTACTGCGTAACTCAAATACTGATATGGGACTGCCAAAGACAAAAACGTCTTGTACCCAAAATTTCTATGCATCTCTATCTTCAGTTGATCACATTTTTTCTAATGTTATATTTTTAATTGTGTTTTTTTTTAAGTACATTTTTTATTACGGGACAGCTAATAATTATCATTTACAAATTTCTCAAAATTTTTCGTTGGCGTTTTTCCCGCTTTAAATTTCAATGCATCCGCATCAAATATAATATAAAATTAAAAACCCCTTTTTTTTTCCCTTTGTTGCGGGTTAAAATTAAATTAAAAACCCTAAAAAAGGGTTTAAATAATATTTTTAATTTTAATTCATGCTGCAAAAAAATATAAAAATTAACCAAACCCGAATAAACCCCCAAAAAACGGCATAATTGTTTTGAAGGGGGAAGTTCGATTTAAATGGGCATGCTCATAAATTGTTTAAAAAAATCAATTTATCTCCACCCCCCTCCATCGGTTTTAAGCAGAATTCAGCAGTTTACAGATGAAATGTAACATTTTTGAATTAAAAAACTCCCACAGATTGAGACTTTATTTATAACATTACATAAGGGAGCGTTCAGTTAAATAAATATCTCACTTTCAAGAAAATTTTCTATAGTAAACTCGACGTGCTAAGTAGAAAACAACGAGTTTTTACTAGAAGCAGTCATGATATTTTTCCTAGTAGATAAAACCTCCTAAGAAGTTGCCATTATCCATCTATTTGTGGCATAATCCTTTTGGGGGGTTAAAAATTTGGTTCCTCGCCTGGATTTGAAATCACGAAGTACTTTATTTTAAATCGGTTTTTTTATGATAAAAAAATTATTATTTCGTAACTACAATGTAGTAGATAATTTTCTGGTAACTACGTTATTACGAGATAGTACTATACGCAGAAACACAAGAAAAGTGTTTTTGTTGTAACTGACAAAATATGTTTACTGTCTTTATTCGGTTATTGTGAAAACTGTTATATTGATTTATGTGTTTTTACTTGTATATGTTTATTTCAGATAAAGTTGTATCACCAAATATTGCATTTCATGCGAAAAACGTGAAAAATAACAATCCCACTGCTGGCTATACCATTGTATTCCCTGACATTCTCCTTAACCTTGGAGACAGTTACAACACTGACACTGGAGTATTTACTGTTCCACTTGGAGGCATTTATTTGTTTACTGTTCAATTATGTTATGATCAAAGTAAATATATTGATACTGGATTGGTGGTTGATAACGTTTATATGGATATTGCACAGTATCAAGACAACTATAGCAGTGTTTGCTGTTACAAGTTAACTACAACAGTCTCAGTACAGTCAGGTAACAAAGTTTGGGTTAAGGTGATATCTCGATCGGGAAGCGGTCAGATTTTACATCACAGTGACACATACTATTGGACATCATTCTCCGGAGTTCTTATTCATACAGATTAATTCAGTATGTTCAAATTGACGAATACATATCAAGAAATATAGCATTGACTTAATTATACTTAAACGTTTGGAATGTATTAATCATAGTGTTTTAACTGAAATTTCCTTATATTTTTCGTGGATTAGCAGTGCTTGATTTTTTCATTTACTTTAAAATTATTATAATTAAATTCAATATTATTATATTGGATTTTTTCAAAAAAAATAATGAAACCATGTTTTAAAAAGGAAGAACAATTTTTATACCGCCCAAATAAAAACAAAATCATAAACAAAATGGGAAATGTCAGCAAACCCGTCTACATCCATTAAAAATTATGTAAAAATGTGGAAAAAAGATATTGCAAACACAACCCATTATTTTTTAGATGAATATCAATAATTTTCCCAAATCTAATCAAAATTTTTGTAATAAAAAATATTATGTTAAACAATTAAAACCTATAACCCTCCGTAAATCCAAATTAAAAAATGTATTTCACTTACACCACCATTATTATTTCAATAATTTCACACTTAAATTATAATCTTGAACAACAGTAGTTAAATTATATGCCCTCAAGAGCCCCAGTTGTTTACATTTTTTAAAACTCTCATAAAAATTTGTTCCGCTCTTCCTTTTTTCTACTTAATTTCTTAATTTGTTAAAACCAGAAAATTTATTCCTTATTCAATAAGGGAAAGAGGGTATTTTTTATGATTTTTACAAACTACGAAAAAAGCCAAAATGATGATTGGCCCGTTTGGATTAAATCAAAACCTTAAAGAGAAGAAGTAATTTTAACATAAACACGCGTGATTCAACCCATTAATCATCTTAACCTCCATAGAAAGTGTTGGAAAAAATGTAAGAAAATAATTTTAGTTCCCTACCCAGAAATATTTCCCGGAAGTTCAGCTTGATACCAATTTAAAGGTAGGGCAGATTATAAAATTACTGATGTACTTGTATCTATTAGATTCGCTGGAAAGGGAATCTAAAAAGGCTTATATAAATATAACTTCCATTAAAATCTAACAAAAGCATATTTTCTTAACTGGTCTTATTTTGACTAGATAACATCGCATTGTATCAAGGAAATATGTGGAAAACTAATACATTACTAACTTGTTAAAAATTAAGTTAAGTTTAAGTTAGCTGGAATGGCTTATGAGCTATGTATTTAAATTATTATTAAATTAAATTTAATGTAAAGTCTAAAACAGAGGTTTGTAATAAAAAGCTTTATTAAATTAACATCATTACAAATTTCATGCTAAAAATATGGAATCTTACACTGGGCTGCCGGCTGTAATGTTAAACTGCGACCCCCATAAAATAATGAACTCCCGACGTCCAATATTCTAAATATTAAAAATAATTGACCCCCCGGGTCATAATGTTTATGACCTGGGAGTCATAATATTATGATTCCCTTGCCTTAGAAAAATGACTCTCGCATGAAATCAGTTGACCCCAAACCCAAACTTATAAAGGGCCCTTACGGGACTCTTTAAAAGAAACACTGTCAATATGATTATCTCCGATGAGAAATATGGTAATGTCACTTGTCTGTGCGTGTGTCTGTGCGACCGTGCAATGAATCTTTTCACTACAAGTGGACGGATTTTTTTCAAACTCTCGGGGATAGCTACTATAATCGACGCCCAGCCTCAGTCTGCATTTTTCTAAAAATTTTAAAAAAAGGGCCCTGGGGATATGTTCATTATATTTTCCTTTTAAATCAACCATATTTTATTTTAAAAGGTTCATCATAAAAACCAATTTTCCCCTTTTTACCCCCCTTAAAACTTAAAATTTTTCCTTTAAAAATTATATTTTTTTTTTAACTTTTACTTCTTTTTTTTAAATTGGGGATAAACTTTTTGTTAAAAATAAATAAAAAACCGCAATTTACGGGGGGCGGCAAAGGGTTAAATTAAACAAAAGCGTTAAACATTTTTAATTTAAAACCCAATAATACATATTTTTTTAATTATTTCCCAATACATAGATCCCACGAATAAAAAATTAAAATCCGAAAGTTTAAAATGCTTAAAAAAGGTATTTGTACTAGGGCTTTTAAATTACGACAGAATTTGCAATTTTTTTGAAACAGAAATTTAATTTTAAAAACAAAAATTTTTTGGAACGAAAATAAAATCGAAGATTAGACTAGTAAAACAAGCTATTGTTCAAAAGATCTTACTTTTAAGAATATAAATAATTGAATAGAATTAGAAAGAAGGTAAAGAAGATTCATTCGGATAGGTAAAAAAATCTGGAAACAAAGTGATCCCTCGAAAGCATTAATCACAACAAAGTTTCAAGAGAATCGCAGACTCCAATGTACGTAAAACAATGGAATCCTATTAGTCTTTACCTGTAAGATCCAATTGTACATGTTTTTCATGTGTGAACATCAGTTATTATTTATATTTCACTATGAAGTACCAGTTATGATCTTGAAAATCAGTAGTTAATTACATGTCACTCATGAGCGCCAGTTGTTACATTTTCAAAAATCATTAAAATATTGTTTCCGCTGTCCCAATTTCTACTTAATTTTAATTTCGTTTGACTGTGATTAAACAGTAAAGATATACAGTGTTTTCCTGATTTAATGATGGAAGAGGTGAAACATTATAAATGTATGGTTATTAAAAACGAATGAAAAAAAATCGAAATTGATATTGGTTGTGTTTACCAAACTTCAAGAGAAGATAAGTTCTATTACATTCTATTGAAATACAAAAGACTCATATGTATAACATTCTGTCTCGTTGTATTTGACTATGTGATACATGCATTAAATAAAGCAAAATATGTAGAAGTAATATAATACATTTGCCTTTCTTGCTAAAAGTAACCTAGGTTGGGTTTACTGGATGGTTTTTGAGACTTTTAATCATTACATTTAATGAAAAGTCTAAAAGGTTTTTATTAACAAACCATACAAAATCATGTATAAAAATATGAATCATTCATGCATTAACAGAAATACCAATGCAAAATAAATTCGGTTTCTAGTAAAAAATAATAAAAACATACTTGGAAAATATTAAGTCATTGCAGAAAATGTAGCACTGGGTTTCCTTTTTAGACTTCCTTTTACGGACGCTGTCACAAATGTCTATGTACACTTCAAGTTCAGTGAACTCGAAATAATCGTACTAAACTATGACACAACTAATTTAACCGTGTATGTATAACTCTTAAACTGTAATTAAAACTTTTACTGTCTACTGTCTGCACAAAAGTTAAATATTTGCTTTTGTTAAAACATTGTATGCGTGTTATCGTAAATTATTTATTTCAAATTTCTATGATAATTTTAGTTTTCTCAAGTTTTATAAACTGTCTTCAAGTGAATAATTCGTTATTACCATGCCATTACTATGACAACTGCCTGATAAAGCCTATCTGAGAACAGCAACCTTTCTCAGTCAGTGACTTGAGAACACTTTTCCATGCTTAAACCTATGGAAAAGTCAGAGTACATCAGATTTTTCAAGCACCTTCCACTTTTTGCCGGACTACTTTCACAATGTAAACAGCTTAAAGCATTGAAAAAAATAACGAGATAAAACAGCCTAAATAAAACATATTTATTCCAAAAAAAATGTTACATAAAATAAAAAATGATTTTTAAATGATTTAATTGTAATTAAAGGCATATTTACACAATTTCTTATTAAGATGCTTACATCTTTAAAAAAAATCTTCTGCTCTTAGACATCTAAAACAACAACAAAAACAACAACAATATTAATAATAATAAATAATTAAAAAAAGATGAATTCAATGTGACAAAATCAGAGTAAGGAAAGGAAAAAAACATTAATAATATTTACATCAGTCTCAAGTTTCACAAAGATAATTATAAATAATACAAATAAGCACTTTTTAATCTTAATTTGGCAATCCTTCAACTTTATGGCAACGTTCAATGTGCATTTGGATGATTTGTTGGAAGTTCAAATGATGAATATTGAAGAAATTTATGAGAAGAATGAATTTGAAGTCAATACTGGTATTGATCCATCAATCTTTGATGAGGAATTTGACGAAGAAAAACATTACAATGTTACAAAGTTATTGACTGATTCTCAGCTGTCCGAGTATTCGAAGACTCCTGTTTCAACTGAATGTCTTCAATTTCCTGAAACTGCTGCTCAATGTTCTCAAGCAGCACCTGCTCAATATCCTCAAACTGATGAAAATCACAGTGCTGTGCCTGTCCTTACTGATGTTGCCTCTGAAAATATGAACACAGGCTTTATGATGGTTGATACGGACTCGGTAAAGGCATTTAACGAGTCGGAAAAAAATCAGCACACAAAACGTAAAACTAACCAACATCTAAAAACTTTTCTCAAACTTAAAAACGAAACACGAGAGTTCCATACCATCCCAATGACGGAGCTGGATGAGCTTCTTGCCATGTTCCTTCTCTCCATTAAGAAAGAAGATGGAACAGACTACGAGCCGAGTAGTTTACGAGGGTACATTTCTACATTTGACAGAGTTCTCCAGGAAAATGGGTACAAATGTACCATAGCCAAAAGTTCAAGACAAGGATTTCCCCTAACAAATCAGACTAAATCGGTAATTACAATTTATTACGTCTATTTAATAATCTATTGGAAATTAAATAAATCCAGCAAAAAACTGACGCTTCAAGATACATGCTCCAGGTCATGTGCAGTCAATGTTTTTTGGTGCTACTGTCCATATACAGAATTTTAGTATGTACAGCATGCCTCCAAGGAACGATCAAGACAGTAGCAGTCGTAATTGAACAGTTTTGAAATATTTCCGTTGAACAGCTGAGGTGAACATGTGACCGAGACTCCTTCGTCCAAATTCCGTTATGTTAACTGTTAAACTGTTAATATCTGGCTAACAGTTTGTAAAACACTGTTCTTTTTGTATTAATCTCCTTAATAGCTTTAAAAATCACACTTGTTATCCTGTTAAAGCACAATTAAATTTTCCAGTTGATGTCTGTTTCAGCCGG